CCCCCCCACCCACACACATGAGGGTATAGAATGATCAGAATAAAAGAGTACCAAAATGATGATGTCATAAAATTGTTTTTAAAGATATTTATGATTTTGGTGATATTATCAGAAACTGCATGTAAAAATATGATGTAGTGTGAAATCTCAGACTGAAAAATGACTTAATAATTTAATACGAAAATATCCCCATTAGTTACATATACATTTTATGTGATTATTTTATAAGCAAAGTTAACTTGGAGTGTGTTGCTGGTCAGCGGTGTGTTGTCGACAGTGCATGCGCTACTGCAGCCATTGCCCTCATGGTCGGCCATTGCTCTCAATCGCTCAGCATTGCTGCCTATTATTGCTCTCACCCCACCCACCCTCCCCGAGGGTTTAAAAAAATGGTAAGCATAAACTTCCACTGTGTTAACAGTGTGACGGGTGCTGGGGTTGACCCATGGTTACCTCTTGCCAATTGCTAGCCCTTGATGTCGCCTTGCGGCGTTGTTGGCACCTACCCTCCATATCGAAAAGCAACATGTTAACTCTTATTTGAAGCTGGATCTAATGTGATTGGATCCAGTTCTAAATAAGAGAAAATGTATGGACATTTTTGGAGCTTAATTGTCCATATCTCCATTTCTAAAGCTCAGAACAGCTTTAAAGTTGGCAGAAATGTAGGCAGAAATGGTGTGTTTTCTTCAAATATGAATGAACATTTCAAAACTGAATTTAGAAATTTTCAATTTGATGATGTCACACTTTGGTACTCTATTCAGTTATTATGATGATACTAAATATTACCATAGCTCTGTTCAGGCATCAGCCCTGTCAGCTTAACTCTATGGATATACATAGTCCTATGTAAAGATCCACCATCTACAAACTTGGTGACGGTTCCAGTTACCCTCAAGTCTAGTGGACCTCCTTTCTTGTTGTACTCTACAATGGAATCTGCAGTGTACTGCATGGTCACCCATGTTACTACCATTTCTGTTACATCATCTTTAAAATAAGAGGCATAAACATATTGGTATTATTGTTTTAGTACACACTTTACGACTGTTTTCAAAACCAGCCACAATTTTTATATCAATCAGCATGTATTAGCTACTTAGTGGAGTGAGTGTTGCCTGACAACACTAATAGCAGCTGCATAGGAGACTACATGTAGTAATGTAAACTGTAAACTTGATAATAGCCACTGTGTGTAAAGGCAGAATTTTTAACAAAATAAAAGTACATAGAACTGAAAGTAATAACTAACATATAAAGAAACTTTCGTAGAAACGAGGTTTAAAATCTTCCCAACCCCCCTCCCCCCCAAACCAAGAAATTTTTTCCCCTAAATTTCTTCCTTCCTTCCATTAGTTCTTCATTCTTTCTTTCTCAAGACTAAATAACGAGAATATCTGTTATCAATCATGAATTCTACATGATTAATGTTCAAAATAAGTTTATAAAGATTTGCGACACAATAACATGGCGTCATGTGACACTGTTGTTATGCAACGTGCGTAGCTACATGCCATATAAGAAAACACAGAAATTATACATAAAAAGCCAACTTACAACCTCAATACACTTAAAAATAGTAAAATTACGCTATAGAAGCCTAATTTATGAACTTTTTCTCGAAGCTGAGCTAAGAAACATCAGTAAATTTTTCCAACTAAAACAACAACAGGAGAACGAATAAGCTAAAAACAGACGCTATTTACGACTAAATTCTTCATTATTTTTTCACTTACTCGTAGCAGAAAGGTGAACTTGTTCGGGTCGTTGACTAGTCTGTCCTTGTATCATATAGGAAAGAGATAAAAGCAGTATGAAAGGGAGTAAAACTGCCATGTTTGAAGTCGTCACGAAGAATCTCGTTATGAATCTTGACATGAAAGGTCACGTGAATCACAGCTTTCGTTAGCTTGCGCTACCAAGGATGCTGGGAAGGTTCTGACCAAAGTGAAAAAAAATTATTAGATAACTAAAATATAGGTGGAGTAAAATAGTAATGAATTTGATGTATGGAGAAGGATAACAATCCAAAATTACACGACATATAATAATATAATAATATCATACGAGTATATGACGTTACCAGTTTGTCTATAGTAAAGGAAATATTATTTCTTACTGGTGGGGGAAAAATCTTAAAACGGGCTAAATTCAAAAATGACCACACAGAGCGAAAGAAGTGCTATTTCTAAATGATCGTGTAAAATTTCGAGGCTTTATTTCACGTTTCAATGATCTTATTGAAATTTATGATGAATCCCCATACATTTCCTTATAACATGACACCACAGAAACCAAGCTTGGGCTACCTGTGGACAGTCGATTGTTACTAGGGTCAAGACCATGTTGATTTCACGATGCTCGATAAGATGTCCCTGGAAACGCTTACAATATCTAGTTGTATTCCTCATAAAAACAGCCTTATTTCTGGCAATGTCGTACTACATTTTTCTCTATCGCGATACGATTGCCATGTTCGTACATGAAGCCTTTTGCTGCTCCGCAAGCGAACATGTATCAGTTATTGGAATCAATTACAACACAATGCCTCCCAATTCGCAGGCAAAGTTCATTTTCGTGATACCAAGGAAGACAAAGCGAACCACGTGCGGAAAAAAGGATTCAGATGGTATTTGCCATGAGGTTCAACACCTGGTTCGAATTCTTGATGAAAATTCGTATCTCGATGGAGCGACTTGCCAAGGTTTGGACCACATTAAAGAAAGGGCCTCTCAAAAACGAATGCGGTCATGTCTTTTTGAAACTAAGTATTGGACATTGAGAATCAAACAGACGACTGTTGTAGGAAAGCAAACACAAACAATCACTCTTTGTAATCTTGCTGAAGGTCCTTTTCTTATTCGGCGCTCTGTGTTTGATAAGTTGGGCTTTCGTCCTTCTCACGGAGAAGCCACCTTGTTAGATTTCTTCTTACGGTCGAAAGGAAGTCTCCAAATAGCAGCGTCACAGAAGTGCTCGTTTTTAAAGCAACAGACGGTGACAGACAGAGGAGCTATGTCTAACAAGGAGGTTTATTTAGATTATGGCTTGCTTGGGTTTCATCATAATATTCTAAGGGTCGTGAGAGACGATTCAATTACATGGACTCAATGTACAAAAGATTTATTCCTCTGTCCAGACAAACCATTGCAAGAGTTGCATGAAAGCCGCGACAAAGCTCTGGTGGAACTTTTCCCCATCTGTTGTCACGAAAGACTTGATCAATATTTAAGAGATTCTGTTTTTGCTTTCGAAAAAGTAAACATGCCTTTTAGACTCTGCGCTGGGACGGTTCTAGGAGCTGTGCGTACTAAAGGTATCATTCCTTGGACGTATGATATCGATATATGTGTTAGTTCTACCAACTACCAAAACTCAAATGCTTTTTTCCAAATGGAAAAAATCTTGAGCGCGCGAGGTTACTCTTCTCCTCTCATATTCAACCTGCGCAGAGTGATGCCGATATTTCCTTTGATGAAAGATATTTCTTCAATTTCTTTAAACGAAAGTAACTTGTATAATAAGAAAGCTCTTAAACTAATGGAATATGTTTTACCGATAGAAAGACCGAAGTGGAGTAGCATGGGATATGTTGATGTTTATCCAATGGATAATTTATTTCGAACCGAGAGTTCTAACATTGTTATAAATAATCGGAATTATACAACGGTAGGGGACCCACACTCTTATCTTGTGGAGGTTTTTGGAGAATCTTATCACCAGGTTGACTACAGAGGTAAGTCAAAGGATCCGCACAAACCGTGGGTGTTTTGGAAATGGAAATCGAGTCTCGCCCAAGAGGATGTCCCTAGCGGGTTAACTGATGACAAGTTGGGATGTTGTGTGATGTTCTTAGGTATCGCGTTAATGAGTTACACAGTGCTGAAATTTTGTTACCATAGTTGTAGTTTTACTCGTAGAAAATGGTGAGAACTAGGGTCTGGCAGTTTTGAGAGAACCAAATCACACTTAGGGAAAGGGGGGGGGGGTGGGGTGTGATTTGTCCTCTAAAAAACCTTATTTTTTTGACAGGCCCCCTTTAGAACTCCCCCCCCCCCAAACGACCCATGAAAATTTTCAAATTCAAATTGAGAACCACCCTTGTATGCATGACAAATTTTAAGATCCCCTACTTTCTTGCCCCATAAAAATTCAGTAAACCCCCCCTTCCCAAATTTCTTCATCCCCTTCTCGGCAGGGGAAGTTAAGGGGCCTGGTGCTGATGGGCGTGGCTAGCATTAATTGAATATTATCTTTATTATCCATAAATTATCAGTATTATTATTATATTTATTTCTACTTACAATATCCTACAAGATCCCAAAGGTCTGTAGACCATATTTGTTTTGAAAGTTAATTGAAATTTCATATTTATATTTCATTGGAAAGTAGTATAGGGAATGGGGGTATCAGCGCAGATGACCACCCGGTAATTACCTGCGTTAAGTACCACCACCCCCGGAATTACCCACGTTAAGTAGATTTTCGGCGTCATACACTATGTCCCGGTATAACTGGTAACGACAAACATCACCATTACCCGTGTCTACAAGTATGAAAAGATAATATGTTAGTCTATATATGGAGTGCGAA